CAAAAACACTCACACAACCACACCCCTCTACACCCCACTCCCCCAAAAATAAACCAACCATGATCTGATTTGCTAAACATTTTCTTGTGACTATTTTAATTCAGACATTTTTACTTCTAAATAACACTGAACTATTTTGCTGGTTGGAAGACCAGGCCTTGCTGACACCAGTTGCTAGGATGTTTTTTTACACATCAGTTAAGCCATTTTTTCTCTCTGTGGACCAGCTTTCAGACACAGCAGCAGATGTTTCACGGCCATTTGCCAGATAACCTATCCCTGCTGCAAGTAAAGCCCCTTAGATGCATTTCCAGGTTCTGGAGAGCGCTACCTTAGGAGCCCACCTTGGGTCACCATGGGCCTGAACACTTCCCACTTCATCCTCTACGTTTTAGAAGTATGGGACAAACAGGACTGAGAACAGAAGCAGATCTTGTGTTGTGTTCAGGTAGGAATCAAGAGAACTTTCCCACTGAAAACAGTCACGTCAGTAGGTTAAGTAACCTCGTTGCTGTTTTGTAGTAGGGCTGCAGCTAAGTATAGGTACCCACCTCTTCAAGGAAACAATAACAAACGCTTTTTCCTCCTCAGAATTTAAGTTTCTGCTTCAAGGCAAAGAAGCTTGGAAGTTTAAAGTTTACTGAACAGCGTGGGTTTTAAGAATTACAAGAAATTAAAACTTCAGTCAAACAATTCATTTTGTCCAGTTGCAAGAAATTTAAGAGAAGTGGTTCTTCCAGAGAACGCCCCCTTCTAGGTAAGAGTCAGGAAACACTGACCGATCAGTCCTAAAAAAGTCTCTTTTTCAGAATAAAAAGACCAGCTTTGAGTTTTTCAGGGAAAAAAAAAAAAAAAGTTATGTGATCCAAGTAAAGCTGTACAGAGTAATATTAACAAATATTTTCACCTCAAAAGAAATACAGACAAAATGGAGTTCTATTCAGGAGCCTTCTTTATTTAGGTATTTATTTATTGTTTTAGAACGGGCTTAAATTATGCAAATGAAGAAAAAAACGTGGATATTATAAATAACATATATCTGGTATCTTACACAGTGACACTACGGACACCCCAGAGGGCAAAGAATGGGATACAACAGCAACCACAACCAACCATCAAGCCATCAAACCTGCCTGATTCTAGGCAAAAATACTCATCCACCAAGCACACGGCCGCAGCCGGCAGCAGGGTTCCAGCCAGGCACAGCTCAGCTTATCGACACGAGCTCTTTAGCAGAAGAGAGCCCTTTATTTCAGCCATGTGCACAGCAGGCTCCCTGTCCTGCTTCCAGTTCAATCAGGTTTGTGTCCAGTGCTCTTCCAGAGAGGTCCCGGCAACGCGGACAGCGTCTGAGCGGACACTGCTGCGAGGCAGGGACGGCACCGGCCCCGGGTCACACAGGGAGGGGACCTGCTCACTACCAGCACGAGGAACACGTCCCCTGGCTCTGCACCAAACCCCCTCCACGAGGCAGTGCTCCGTCCTAGGTTATACTATTGCATTCAAAAAGGTTATTTTAAGACAACCTTTGTGTTCCATATTACAGCCTAGCACTTCATAACGAAACAAGAAGACAGCATACCTCCCCCTGAGGTAACGCTCCTCTCCCCTCCCCACCTCTTCCACCTGAAGATAACCAAAATAATTGAGCGCTAATGAAGTTTTTTAAAATATGCATTGCAGGAGCAGACGTGCAAGTGACTGGAAGTATGATGCTCCTGTTCCTAAAGAACGTTTGTGCTGTTTCTGTAGTGCCACCTTGTATGGGGCACCAGGACCGTGCCAGGTGTGTTATTTTACGATGGCAAGCAGCTGCATGTCCTAGGTTTGCAGTTGAGTGTCAGTAACTCCAGTCAGCCTCAGTTAATTACTACAGGTACCTTTCCCAAGCTTCATACAATGGCATCTAAAAACACTTCCCTCAGACAGACTCCTAAAACACTTTTGAAGCTACACATTCAGCTCCTACATCCACTAAGTGAGAGTCTTGATTAAGACAAACACATGTGATTTCAGGTTTTAACAAATTTCCATTTTCAAGTTTTATAACGAAGTGACTAACTCCTGTATTGGGACTGACAGAAGACAACTGAGACTTTGTTAAATTTGTTGGTAAAGTACAGTGGAGATCTGAAACAAAATAACCAACCCAGTTCCTCATGTAGGCTCCGTGGCTCACCACTAATATATTGGCATCTAACGTCTGAGAAGCTCCACTGTTATCAGAGCTCAGTTCTGCTTCACTGCAGTGGTTTGTCCAAGGGAAAACGAACTGTTCTTCAGCTGTTCCTGAGCTTCTGCTTGCTGCACCATGCGAGTCCTGCTCTTTCTGTTCCAGTTCAACAGCTAGCCGACACAGAAATTCAAAAAAATCCCTGGCGCGTTCTCTCACCTAGAACGAAAGGCCAGAAGAGTACAGCGTGAGGTGTGCAACAGACTTCAGCTGCCACAGATCCCAGATAGAACTACCTCGGTTAAAAGACAAACATTTATCACAGACAAGTCTCAGAAATCAGTGGCAAGTTACTGAAAGCTGTAAAAACACCCCTGCCCTCCAAAGGCAGGGTTGAGAGTAATGGCCATCATCGTTCTGCCAGTGACAGCTTCACAAGGAGTCACTCCCGTCAATCGCAAAGTCAGTATTTTAGTTCTGAACAGACTCCCCTACTTGGGAGCCACTGTAATCAGGTCACTCAATTTAGCTCAGAAAATAATTTCCCTTGGTTGGGCTGAGCTTTCAATAAGATGTTCCTTAGTACGCACTAGCTGCATCTGCACTGATAAAAGGGCTTAGGAAGCAGGGCACAAGTAAATAAATAAATACCACACCTCATCCAGGGTTTCTCCTCCCGACGGCGTGAACGAAGGGCACTGCTCCCCAGCAGCCTTTGCCATAGCCTTCAGGTCAGCCAGAGGCCTTCCTTCTGCCACCCCGTACTTCTGCAAGAGCCAGGTCACAAGCAGCACCTTCAGCCAGGTGAGGCAGCACGTCTCCTACCTGCTCTTCTCCCTTGGGTTCTTAAATGCAGTGTGCAGGCTTAACTGCCTTTCACAGCTTATAAAGGTACTTCCTTCCCCAGTACTGGAATATCAGCCACTTAAGTTGAAAGTATATGTATACAGTGTGTATATATATAAGAATGTATATATACGCTGGGTAGAGAAATACATTAAGAGCAGTATCTTATTTAAAGTACTAACATTCAAAACCCTACCTGCAGCCTGGCCTTTGCCTTGAGAATTAT